CGGGAGGGGAAGAAAATGGGGCTGGCATGCAGGGTGAAGAGGAACTTTCCATATTTTTTCCTGTTAGTTTTAACCATAAGAATTGTCATTTGGAGAGGAAGATCCAGCCTTTAAAGAATCAAATGGTGAGCTGGACGAGGTGGGTCACACCTGTAACCCCAGCAACTCAGGAGGCTGGGTCACAAGTTCAAGGCCAGCTCAGCAACTTAGCAAGGCCATAAGTAACTTAGTGAGACCTGTCTCAAAATAAAAAATAAAAAGGGCTGAGGATGAAGCTCAGTGGTTTAAAAAAAGAAAGAAAAAAATTAAGTGGTAAATGAGTATTCAGTGGGGGCAGGGAGAGAATGAATTCCTGAATAAGGAAAACCAAAATAACTGAAGATATAATTCAAGAAAACTTTCTGGAAATAAATGAGGACTTTTTGTTAATGCCATTTTTGTAAGTTAAAACTGGTATAAATTAAGAATTTCATAAAGTTCAACCTAATATATGTTTATATATAGGCATGTTCATTGATTTAGTTTCTTATGCTGAGAACTTGTTTGTGTAGAGTTGTTTAAAACAAAAAATGATAAGTAAATGATAAATCCAGCATATAAACTCTAGTCTACTGGCTTTATTTCAAGACACTCTGCTGAGGGAAAATGTGCAGAAAAGGATTTAGAAAAGAAAAAAAAAAGCAATAAGAATGACAGTCACTGTAAGAGGAGGAATCAAGGTCCTGAGCTGTGGTCTTCTGTCCTTAGCAGATGGGGACACTGAGGTCCTGCAACGTGGCCACCCAGGCCATGGGACTTGTCCCTGGTTCTGCTGCCTCCTGGTCCACTCCCAGGCAGTCCAGGGAACTGCCCGGCAGAGCCTGTCACTGTGGCCATGATCTGCATATCAGCAATAGTTGACTCTTGGTCTGCCCTGCCTCTGCCACCTCTGTCGCAGGGCCTTTGCACATGCAGGTTCCGCTGTCTGGAATATGTAACCTGCTTCGCCTTGTCATCTTGCTTCCTTCCCTCTTTCAGGTCCCTCTCAAGCATCCCAGCTCATGGGACTGGCCCAGGGCTCCCCAACTGCAGGTTCACATCCACCTATTTGTGTGACTGAGTCTGTCACCCCCATCCCTGACTGATCACTGCCAGGCCAGGTGGGCTCCTGCCTCAGGGACACACACGGGATGGAGGGATGAAACCCTGGGCAGATCTTTCACGCGGGGAGGCAGAGCGACTTCGAGGGCAGTTCACCTGCCCCCTGGGAGGCTCTGTTCTGAGGAATGCCTATTTTTAAGATCAGGGAAGTCTTTAAATAAGCGTAGAAGGTTTTCCTTTTCTGGGGCGGGGAGGAAGTGTGTCCGAGGTTCATAAAACAACGCCCGTGAGGTGGGAGGGGGCCCTACTGGGGGCACATCTGGTGGCCCAGGTCCCCAGCCTGTGCTTCCTTCCCGAGCCAACAGGCCTGGCTGCAAATCTGGCACAAGGATTGTAAGGCCGCGGGGAGACCATAGCTACAGGAGTGGATGGCACAGGTCATTGGAACCCTCTCCAGAGCACCTGCGGTGGTAGGAGCTCTGTGCAGAGTGCTTTATAGCACAGGGCAGGAACCCTGTGGGGGGAGGAGGTCCCAAATCGTCTCCGTTTATAGATGAGCAAACTGGGAACAGAGAGGTAAGCAACTTGCCCCAGGTCACACAGCCAATGAGAAGCAGAGCTAGGACACCAACCCAGGCTGCCCAGCATATGCCTTCCTCTTGGGTGACCCTTGTGAACACTGCCAGCTCCCAGCTGGTGAAGTCCCATGCTGGGAGGGGAGCTTGGGACAGTACTCTTCAGTAAGACATCAGACTTCATATCCTTCCTCCTGGCACGCACTGACTCACACAGTCTGCGGCCAACTCTGCAGTTACTGCGTGTGGGACACCCAGACTTCCCACTTTATCCTGTTCTATACCCTAAGACAGCCCACTAAATGGATTTCAAGACCAGCAATGAGTTTGACGGTCACTAGTCTGAGGGGAGAGGCCCTGCCTATTTCCCTGGAGGAGGGAGAAGATGACAGTGAGAGAAGTAAGAGGGTCCCAAGGTCCAACATCTGGAGCAACAGCCATAAGGGCATACGTTGTGCTGCTGGCTTCATAAACACAGAGGAAAAACATTTTGCAGAAATTAAGAGTTGTGCTAGGCTCTGTGGTGCAGGCCTGGAATCCCAGCAACTCAGGAGGCTGAGGCAGGAGGATTGAAAGTTTGAGGCCAGCCTCAGCAACTTAGCAAGACCCTGTCTAAAAATAAAAAAATACATTAAGGGGGTGCTGGGGATGTAGCTCAGTAGTATATTGCCCCAGGGTTCAACCTCCAGTACGTAAATAAATACGTAAGAGTTGTCATCAGCATGGCTTAGTCCCCAGGGACAATGTCTTAGAGTTGCTTCAGCCATGGAAATGACAGAGGCAGCAGTTCAGGGTCCCCCGTTTCCTTCTCCACATTCCACAGAGGGGACCCTGCCCTGCCCAACCAGTGGCTCTTGGCCTTAGATGCACGTTAGAATCACCTAGAAACTTTAAAAAGCCCTGATGAACCTCCAGATTCAGAGGTTCTGCTTTACTTGGCCTGGTGTGGTGATTGCTAATGTGCAGCCAAGGCAGACAACCTGCACCGGAAAGATCCCACAGCTGCACCCTCAGCCTGCACCCAGAATGAGCTAAAGGGCTACAAGGGTGTCTCAGCAGCCGGGTGGCACACTCCTGGAATCCCAGTGACTCAGAGGCTAAGGGAGGAGGATCACAGGTTTGAGGTTAGCCTCAGCTCTGCCTCTCACTGTCTGTGTGATGTGGGTCAAGTCACTTGGCCTCTCTGTTCTCAGTTTGCTCCTCTGTAAGTAGGGACAACTTGGTGGACTGTCTCAAAAAATGCAAAGGGTTGGGGACAGAGCTCGGGGACAGAGCACCCTAATTCCCAGGTTCCCCAGATGGGGTGGGTGGATGCCACTGCCTGCATTGCACTGAGGAGTCAGGCTGGCCGATGGGCCCCTTGTACTCACCATGGAGCCTGCGATGTCCACGCCCTGCGTGCTGCAGCCAGCCGCCCCCGCCCCCAGTGCCGATGAATCCTCCACCACAATTCTGAAAGCTATTGTCCCACTTTACAGAAGAGGAAAACTGGGGCTCAGAGAGGCAGGGAGAGGCAGAGAGGGACCCCACAAGAGGACAGTGTCCATGGCCACTGCAAATCAGATCTGCCTGGGGCTGGAAACCCCACTGCTTTCTCCCACAAAATGGCTGTTTTCTTCTTAAAGACCAGGAGAACCAGTCAACGAAACAGCTCTAGGAGCAAAGCCACGAAGGCCCGGTTCTCAGAACACGAGGCGCCTGACCAGCTGGACCACGAACACAAGCCTGATCTTTGGCCAGGAAGAGGCAGGTTTGTCCCAGGTGGTCCTGACCCCTCTTCCCAGCTCCTGGATGTGCTGTCCAGGACCAGCTTTGGTGTGGTGACCCCCAGGAGCTCCCCAAGGTGTGTCCCCTGTTGGTTCAGCCTCCCGTTGCCCTGCAGGGGCCGTGCCCTGGTGACGGCCTGTGACAAGGCGCCCCCACCCCTGCACCTGCCCAGCTTCAGTCAGACGCCCGCCTCCTCGGGACCCCTGCCCGGCTTTACCTGGCGAACAGACTTTGCCCTACTCCACTCCGTCTAGTGAGGCTGGGGCAAAAGCACGGCCACAAAAGGGAACAGCAACAATCCAGACCTCTGTCACCTCCCCACCTCCTCCACCACCTCCTCTCAGATTTGCATCTTTGACAATTATAATCAAGGACCGGAGACCAGGGACAGGCCTTTTCGATGGCCAAGAAACTTGCTGAGGAGTCAGAGGGTCTTACTGAATCCTGACGGCTTCTCATTTTTAGCACCTTTATCAGCAACGCCAAGACCATGTTTTCTCACAGCTCTGGGATCGGGATGTGCCTTTGCCTGTTTTGCATTTTCCCCTCGGTGCTGGGGGTCAAAGCCAGGCCTCGGCACTCCCCCGTGGCCTGCCGGGGACCCCCTGTCCTTCACAGCACGTGCAATAACGGCGCAGGTACAGTCAGCGGCATCTGACGCGCTAAGGACACAGCGCCACAAGTGACTTTTTCCTTTTGATGGATTGTTTCCTTTCCCTTAATGGGATGGACACACTTGAACGCCAACATCCTCACCAATCTTGATACACACTGTCACCTCTGCTCAGCACAGCTGCGGGGGCTAAGCCAGTCCCTAGCACAGGTGCCCCAGCTGCCTGTACCTTTTTGGTTCACTTAACAGAGAATTGCAAACGAAAGAAAAGTCACCGCCGTTTCCACACCTTTCTTTGACACTTTGATACCTGGAACTTGGGGACCACCTAACTCTCACAGCCACTTGGCCACCTGCCACCCATGTGAGGACACACAGGTTGCTACCACTCTGTGACCTGCTGACCCCCCTGTGGCTTCTTGGGTCTGCCCCAGGCACCCCCCTGCCACCCTGGGCTCCTGTAGCTCGCCCTTCCACAGCCGGCCCCTGCCGGCCCCCAGGCCCTTGGGGGGAACTCCGGAAGGGGAAGCCGACACTTCCTTCCCCCTTTGCAACTTTTGCCACTGATATACCCCAAACCCAACCAACCCACACCCCAACGTCAAGGTCAGGATTTATCAGTCCTGCTTGGGATGGCCACAGGACACAGGAGGCCGAGCTTTGCTGTGAAGTCAGGCTGGGTTGAAACCCGATTTGCCACTTCCCAGCTGTGTGATTCTGAGCAAGTGGCTTTAGGTCTCTGTGCCCAAATATCCTGACCTGTAAGACGGGATGCTAAAGAAAAGTCCCAACAGACTCAGCATCTCCCTGGTGTCTGCAGACCCCGATTCCTTGATCCTCCTGAGAGCCCTTCAGGGGCTAAGGTGGGAACTAATCTTTCTGTCATTTTCCAGAGGAGGACACTGAGGCATAAGGAGGTGAAGGGCCAGGCTTTGTGACTCAGGGTTGTTAAAACAGGAATTTACCTTTACGTCACTGGAGGCCATCTTCTTGTGGTCTCTGGATCTGGAAAACAAGAACATATTTGTTTGGATCTGTCACTCTGTTGCTGTGGCCCCAGCATGCACCTGGCAATCTCTCCTTACAGATTAGGTCTACGTTAACTTAGTGTCAACAGAGTTTGAAAATAGCATAAAGCTCACAATGTATGTAGAAGGACATGTACCCTGGATACACACCCCAAAAGAACTGAAAACAAGTACTCCAACAAACACCTGTTGGAGTACTGGGTCCACATTTTGGAGATGGTGAACAATATGTAGTAGAAGTATTCACCATCTCTGAAAGGTGAAACAACCCATATGTCCATTGATGGGTATGGATAAACAGAATGTGGTATATCCATGCCATGGAATATTATGCAGCCACAAACAGAAATGAAGCACTGACCCCTACAAAGACACAGATGAACCTTGAAAACACTATGCTAAGAAAAGGTGGCTGGACACAATATGCACATACCATGTGATCCCCACTTGTACGAAACAGCCAGAATAAGCAGATCCATGGAGACAGGAAGGAGACTGGTGGATGCTGGGGACCAGGGGAAGGGAAGAGCAGGGAGTGACTGCTTAAAGGGTCTCCTCTTAGGGTAATGACTGATCTGGAATTAGATCCATGGGGTGGCTTGATGGCAACACGATATTGCAAATGCACTCAATGCTACTGAATTAGGAGCTTCAACCTGGTCCATTTAATGCTATGGAAATTTCATTCCAATTCCAAAAACAGGCATTGCCTTGCAGTGGAGGGCTCTGGAAAAGACTCACATGCCCACCGGGCGTCTGGATGGTTGCCTGCTGTGCACCTGAGCAGTAGGAGGGTGCATAGTCTGCAAGTGTAGATGTAGAAAAGAGAAAGAAGATCCTGTCACAGCATGGCAGGGGCAGGATGACCCCATCTACGTAGAAAAAACACACACGTGCCTTAAAAGCTTTTTTTTTTTTTTTTTAAGTCTGTAAGGGAAGCAGTGAGAGTGTTCACAGTGGTCTTCTTTGGGAGCAGAGGGAGTAACCTGGACTTGGGCTTGAGTGACTGTCCTCCTCTTTGCTTCTGTAAAGTCTGAACTGTAAGAATTCTGAGATGGGGGATTATCCAGTGGACCCACTGAATTCGGGGGGGGGGGGTCTTTGTAAGTGGAGGTGGATGTGAAGCAGAGGAGACAGAGATCGGGAGGTGCCTAAGCTGCTGGCTTTGAAGACGGAGGAAGGGCCCGCTGCAGGCACCTCTAGAAGTTGGTAGGATGGGCCACCAGAGTCCCCCGCCCCCAGTCTGAGGAAGCAGGGCAGCCCCGGCAGCGCCCCCTTCAGGTTCACTGAGACTGAACATAGACTCCTGACCCACAGAACTGTACAGGTACAAATGTGGGTTGTGTCGAGCCACCAAGTCTGTGGCATTTGATCAATGGCAAAAGGAGACTAGCACAGCACCTCGGGGCTGGTCCCACGCCAGCATGCTGAGGTTCAAGGGTACTCCTTGTAATGGCCACATAGGAGTCCCCTTCAGAGACGCGTGTGGGCCACTAGTGACGGACAGTTAGGTTGTTCCCCAGTCTTTTCTTGCCTCAATGTGCCAATGAGTAATTCTACACGCTTTGTGTTATTTTTATAATTAAAAGAGTAAAATATTAGCATTTGGGGAAAAATTCACATACAAAAAAAATAATAAAATAAAGCAAACCCCAGCTTTCTCTCCTCTCCCACAGTCTGGGTGCAACAGGACTCTGGAGAGCTTCTTTCTGGTTGGCTAACAGAGCAGCATCTGCAGGCGGCGAGTTTAGCTCAGTGCAGCCCTGGCCCAGCACCCTGGGGCCTCCCTCACCCCTTCTGCATGAGATGGGCTCCAGCAGCTCCTTTACACAGATGAAGGTGAAGGGAAGGACCAAGGTGCTCTGGAGGGTCCCTTCCTCACAAGACAGGAAGCAGAGCTGGCACCCACGAACACCCAGCTTCACCCATTCAAGCAGCAAAAAATGTAGAACTCCCAGGCTCTCCCCCATTAAACTAGTCAAGACAAATAAAAGTGATAAAGTATGATGCTCACAGGGCTGTGGGGAAACTTAGGCACACTTCTGGGGATCACTGCTGTAATGGGCATCTGGCAACAAGGGTCCGCTGCCTTCAAGATGATCAGACCCCTGACCTGAACACTTCACTTTGGAAATTATATGTCAAAGAAGTCATCTGACAGCAATGGCAATATTTACGCAAATGTACAACAATGTTTACAGCTAAACTGGATATTCTGGGCACAATCTAAAACAGCCCCCCCCCCTCAGGGAAAAGCTGAGGAAGGCAGAGGGCTACTGGGAGGAGTGACAATATTGAGGTCTATGCAGAGAGGCAGAAAGAACTCTGGTGAGCAACAAGAAGGGAGAAATGGAGGCCTCTGGAGCTTTACATTCTGCTGGCGATTGTATAAAATTATCTGAACCTTTACCAGAGGCCAAGAACTGTGCTGGGTGAAGAGGCAAGAAAAAGAGGTCAGGTCAAGGGTAGGCTAATGTTTCAGCCCCAGGAAAAAAAAAAAAAAAAAACCCAAGGAAAGAAATACATAAGCGAGATCACACTCCCCGCCACCCTCGGCTGCGTGCTGGGAAGGAAAAAACCTGGTCACGCACTAGAAAGCAGCCAGCGTGTGAGAGAGGCTCCTGCAAGTGGAGTGGTCAGACTCCTGAGGAAGTGACATCTACAGTTTCCTGAATGTCAAGGGGACCAGTCATTTGAGATTTCAGGGAAAGGCGTTCCTGGGGAAAGAAGAGCCTGTGCTCTCACCCCTTGAGAGAGCAAGAAGCTTGGGAGAATGGGGAGACTCCTGATGGAGGACAGCGGCAGGAGATGAGTCAAGAGTGAAGCAGGAGGAATGCAAGCCTCAGCAACTCAGTGACACCCTGTCTCAAAGTTAATATAAAAAGGGCTGGGGATGTGGCTCAGTGGTTAAGCAGCCCTGGGTTCATCCCCAGTGCCTTCCCCCCCCCCAAAAAAAAAAAAGAAAGAAAAAGAATAATCACTTGGGGCCCAAGTATGGAAGGTGGATGAGGATTTGGAGTCAAGAATGCTGCAGGGAGGCCAAGGGGAGGCCCTCAGTGACAGTGACATTGGCCTGAACTTGGGGATCAAAGTGAGAACACAGAGGCCAGACTTGGATATGCTTAGGGGGAGATGGTGTGGGGTGGGGAATGGAGAACCAAGGCACCAAGGGTGAGCCGGGCCAGCTAGGCTGTGGCAAGAGCTCTCTGGGCTTCCTCCTTGCTAGACAGCAATGTGGTGGGGGAGGGCTGGAGGCCACAGAGGAGTCGGGAATTATGCAAGTCTTAGCCCAAAGCTTGTCAAAACCCTGTCCTCATCAGCTTTCCCCCAGGGGACTCTCAGGGGAGAAGTTGCTGGCTCTGATCTTGGTTTTACTCAAGTTCCTGGTAGGGGACCTCCGGAAATACTGCAGATCTAGAGCCCCACCAGCCTGAGGTTTGAGGGGCCCAGGAGGAGGAGTGCTTCCAGAGGTGTGGGATGGGAGGGAGGGGACACAGCTTGGTAGGAAGCTGAGCTAAGTCTTTACACCAGGCACCTCACTTAATCTCCTCGGCATCCTGTGAGGTAGGTGCCAGGCTGAACCCCAGGGGGCAGATAAGGAAACTTGAGACACAAAGCGAAAAAGTCACATGGCTAAGCCTGCAAGATCCCCTGCCCTGGCCTGGCAGAGGAACCTCCAGCATTCCTGGAGGGGGCTGGCTGAGAGGAAAGCCCCCCTCTCTCCTGGAGGTCACCCCAACCCTAGCCCACCATTATTGTTCCTTAGCTCCCCTGACCCAAGAGTGGGTGTTCCAAGGAATTTCCAGGTGAAGGACCTGCTGCCCTGGGCCTTCCTTCTGCAGGGACGGGTTGGGGGGCTCACTTTGGGCTCCTCCTGAGGCACCCCGCCTGCCTTCCCTGTCCCTGTTCCCCTGGGCAGCAGGGGCTGGGGCAGGACAGAGGGATGGAAGGACGGGGCTCCACACAGACCTGGCTGTGAGTTCAGGCTCTGTCTCGTTCTTCGGCTGCGCCCCAAGGTACCGCGCGGCCTCTCCAAGTCCCGGCGTCTCCACCTGTAAGCGGGAGGGAGACCGCGATGGGCGCTGCGCCACCTGTTGCAGCCCTGAGTGATGAAGTGATGGCACCTGGCCGGGTCGCGTGCGGTGAGAAAGGACAGTTCTTGGCACTGGACCCCAGGGGGACAAGGCCGCGGCGGGAGGGCTGCCCTGCAGCCTGGCACCCGGCGACGCGGGGTCCCGGGGTCCCTCCGCCCGCGTGGGCAGCGAGCACGGGCGCGGCTGGGGGCGGGTCCGGGGGAGTTCCCTCGGCGAGGGCGCCCCGGGGTGCGAGGGTCCCCGCTGCTCTGAGGGGTCGGGATGGGGGAGGAGGGCGCGACCCCGGCCGGGAACTCACCGCGCGTCCGCGGCCACCGCAGCGACTGGCAGCCCCGCGTCGCCGCCGCCCCTTCCTCCAGGCCCGCCCCGCCCCGACGCCGGGCTCTGGCCGGGTCCCAGCGCGCGTCCCCGTGCCCGCCCCGCCCCCGTCCTGCGGACCGACTAAGTCCCGCCCGGCGGCCCGTCGCGAATCACGGGAATCCGCGGCCCGGGAAGGGGCGGGGGAGGGACGCACTTCCTTCCTCCGCGGAGGGTCGAGGCCGGGCCCCCCGCAGCCTCCCCGCCACCCCTGCCTCCCGACTCCCTAGGGTGGCCCCATCCGCCGTCCCCAGCAGTCTGTCAGGCAGAGGGTGGAGGGTGGCAGAGTGTCCTAAGGGGGTGGCCAACCTGGAAACCCTGGGGGCTCCCCTGATGGGACTGAGGCTGGAGGAGGGGAGGGGCGCCCTGCTCCAGGCCTGGGTGGTCAGAGGAGCCCGCCTGGCTCTTTGCGGCCCTCGCAGCGGCTGTGCCTCGGGTTTGTCCTGTTAGCGTGTCTTCAACAGGCCACTGGTCCCGGCTCGCAGGCGCAGAGGCCATCTGCTCACCTCTGACTGCTCTCGTTTACTTGTGGGGGTGCCGCGCAGCCCCTGGGACTGGTATGAGTTTCCTGTTGCTGCTGTAACATGTCGCCACAGATCCAGTGCCTAAAACACCAGAGTGTGTTCTCTTAGAGTCACGAGGCTGGAACTGTGAAGTGGCTCTTTACACGGCTAAAATCAACTTGCTGGCAGGCCATGTCCCCTCTGGAGGCTCTGGGGACAGCCGGCTCCTTGCCTTGGTCGGCTCAGAGGTGCCTGTGTTCCTTGTCTCCTGGCCACTCAGCCCCACCTCTGCTTCCACCTCAGAGTCCCTTCTCCCCCTCATAAGGACCCTGTGATTACTGTAGGGAGAGAGAGAACCACCACTTCCTCCTTGGTTCTTTGTGGGTTTTTAGGCTAGATCTGGGAACCCAATTAATACAAGAACTGGGTGACAAGAGAAAAACATGAGAGTCATGTTAGTTTTACACATTCGTGGTGATCTTCCCAAGAGGGTGAAGCGAGAAGAAATGACTAAAGTATGATGCTGTCACAATGAAGGAGTGACAGAGAGATCAGGTGAGTCTCTGTACTAGGTATGAAACTCTAGGGACGTCACTCAGGGATATGGGGAGGAGAGGAGATGTGGAAGCTTCTGGAAGATAGGGGTTACTTCAGAGAGCTTATTTATTCAGGTCAGTTGTAGCTCTAATGACCAGATTCTGGGGACCAAGTCTCTTTTCCTGCTTTGGCATGTGAAGGACATCCTTCCTAGAAGAATCTCATGATGTGCTGCTGCATGTAGGGAAATGTGGGCCAAATGGCCCTTTTTCAAATCACAGATTCTCAAGTGACTCGACTTTGAACTACCAACATTCCCTTTTCCGTATTTGAGATGGTACCTCTAGCACCTTCCTTTCACTGGCCCTACCGCCACAGTCCAGGATCTTCTCCTATCTCAAGATTCTCAGCTTATTCACAAGGGCAAGATCTCCTCAATCATGGAAGGCAACATGCTCACAGGTCCTGGGGAGTAGGACCTGGGTATTATATGTGATGTTTCCAGGGGCTTTACTGCCTCTGCTCTCCCCAGTGCCGCTGGGCAGCAGGCTTTCCTAAAACCATTTTCCTGGTGACTTCTCATGCTTTGTTATTCTGACAGCCCCATTCCAGTCCCCATGCCATGGGTCTGGTCCATTTTAAACTTCTTATATTTAATCAAAAACTCTGCCCTTCCCCCCAGGGCCCATGGACAGAGTGGACAGGATGTGGGGAATATTCTGCCCCAACTTCCCTGCAGTGGGGAAGGGAAGAGGGAGAGGGAGGAGCCATCCCTCCTCGAAGTGCAGGCCTCTTGGGTCCTGCTGGTACTTATAAGCTTAGCACAAGTAGGTGGTGGCCTCAACAGGCCAAGCTCTGGCCCTGGCCCCACCCTCTGGCCGACCCCCTGCCCATGGAAGCCTCATTTTTGTATCCTTCCCAGTGTCCACATCTGTACCACACTGTGGTGCTCCTGGTAAGGCCTTCAGCTCCCAAACTTAACTATGCCCTGGGGCCTCCAGTAGGCATCTATTTCCATATTTTGGGGGGAAATAGGGTCCCATGGAGTTGGTAGTTCAGTATTTCTGAAGAATTTAGTCCTTAACATTGCTATTATCACTAATATCTTCCTGTCTTCTCAGGAGATAGGAAAAGATCTCAACTGTGTTATATCTTTCTCAGCACAGAATCTGGCACTTATGAGTTGCTTTACATTCCCACTGCATAAATTAATGAGTATTAAGCATCATAAGATAGATGTACAATTATTGCTACAATTCAACACTGTACTGAAGATTCTAGCCAACACAAGAAGACAAGAAAGAAGTACAAAGATTGAAAAGAAACTCTCATTCACAATCACTAGACTTACCTCCAGAAAAATCTAAGAGACCTACATACTATTGTGCCTACTGTGCAGCAGGGCCTTTCTGGATACTTCATATCAGGTGAAGGAATGGCCTCCGTCCTCACAGAGCACCCATTTTGGCTGGAGAAGTGAGGCCAACCATCCTTAGGGCAGAGTAACCTGTGGTCCATAGAAAGAGTCCCAAAGCCCATGAACTTGGGTGGGAAAAAAATTACCTCTTTATTTTCATTAACCTCTGATTGAAATTTGACATTTTATTTAATTATGAATGTAGGCAACAAAACCTCTGTTGTGTTAGCAATATCAATACTTTGTATCAAACAGATGATTTTGAGATCATAATAGTTACTATAGGTATCTCAAAATATTACTTGATCTAAATAGTCTAATGCATTAGCCAAGAACTTCATGTATTTATCCTAATTTTAAAATAAAATTGAAACTGCATTTCAAGGTCACTTTGCTTTGCTAACTACCCCACATTGGAAAATATTACTCAAGAAGAGGCTCAGAGGCTTCATCAGATGCCAAAGGCCCCAGGTTACAAAAAGATTAGGAACTGCTTTAGAGAAGGACCTATTCTGCTTTCGGCAACGCCATCCAGTCCCCCTGCACAAGGGAGTCCCTGTCCCACCCCTAGAAGTGAGCCCAGTTCGCTTGTCAGTCATCAGCTCAGGGTTCTCTGGGTGTCCCACCGTTTGATGTTCATGGAGCATTTCAGGGAAGATCTGAGTCCACTCCTGGGGGGTCTGTAACGCTTGTGTTCCCAGAACAGCTGGGGCTGGGCCAGGCAGTGTCTGCTTCCGACATTATGCAGGGGGAAGAGAGAGGGCTGCCTCTGCTGGTTCTGGTTACTCCAGGGCAGAGTTTTCAGCCTCCACAGTTGACCACTTCCCTTCCTAGGGCATAAGCCAGGTCCTGGCTCTGGGAGAATATGAGAAAACGGAAAGGAAGAGAGAGAAGTAGAAGAGATTTCAGCCAGGGGTGGGCAGGGGCTCTGTTTGGGTTTCCCAGAGTTACGTCTGTGGTCTGGGTCCAGAAGCTCCTCTCCCAGCAGATATGATTCATCTGCAGCAGTGACAGCCACATGATGACATCCATGTGAGGCTTGGGGACTTATTTCAACAATGTAGCTTTATTAAAAGTGTATGTTGCTAGGGCTGGGGGTGTAGCTCAGTGGTAGAGCACTTACCTAGCATGCATGAAGCCCGGGTTTGATCCCCAGAACTGGAAAAAAGAAAGAAAAGGGGAACTTGGTTCCAATGGCTTCACTGTTCAGAAAGAGCATAGCAACTGGCATCAGAGAGGCCCACATCTCAGTCCTGCCTCCCTCTGTCTCTTCCTTTGCTGGTGAGTGATTTCTCACTAATGTAGCAAATCGGTTCTGAGCGTCAGCTAGGAGTTAGGTTCAGAGAACACTGAGGTGAACCAGGCAGGTAGGTCCCCTCTGCCTCACCCCACCCCTCTCCACAGGGAGGCGTACCAAGACCCAGTGACAAAGTGAACAGTATAAAGGAATGACCAGGGGATGCTGGCAGAGAAGTGGGGATAGAGATGCAGACCCATTGAGCCATGGAGGCCAGGGGAGGCAAGTGACATTTAAGCTGATATTGAAAGATGAAGTAGAGCTGGCCATGAAGAGGGACAAGCTTCTAAGCAGAGGGAACAGCACATGCAAAGGGCCTGAGGTGGGACAGAGACCCAATAGGAGACCAAAGCAGGCCAGAACCTCAGGAACATCCTGCACTAAGGGAGAGAGGAGAGAAGTGAGGCCTGGAGGAGGGCAGAGGCCACGGGGTTGGAGCCCATTGGGGGTACAAGAAGCCAGGTGGGGAGAGTTAAGCAGCAGAGGAACAGATTTGATTTTTGTGGGGAGAGGGATAGGGTACTGGGGGTTGAATTCAGGGGCACTCAACCACTGAGCCCTATTTTGTATTTTTTAAATTTAGAAACAGGGTCTCACTGAGTTGCTTAGTGCCTCACTTCTGCTGAGGTTGGCTTTGGACTCACAACCCTGTAGTCTCAGCCTCCTGAGCTGCTGAGATTACAGATGTGCGCCATTGTGCCTGCTTTTTTTTAAAGTGTAGTAAAATACACATAACATGAACATTTTAACCATAATGAAGTGTGGACAATGCGTGGCATTTAGTACATTCACAACATTAGGTAGTCTTCACTGCTACCTAGGTCTAAACTTTCTCATCTTAAAATGAAACCCTGGGCCCATTAGTCAGCTACTTTTCCTTCCTGCCTCTCTCCAGCCGGGAGCACCCACAAGTCTTCTCTCTATCTCTGTGGATTTGCCTCTTCTGGACATGGCATTGCCCAACACGGGGTCTTGGCATCTGGCTTCTTTTGTGAAGAAGCTCAGCTCTGAGCCCTGAGCCCTGAGGTCCGTCCATGTCGCCCCGTGGTTGTGCTTCTTTCCCTTTGAGGCTGAATGGAATCCCTTTGCCCAGGTAACCATCTTCTTACTCCTTCACCCACGGGTACAGTCTGACTTAAAAAGATACCTCTGGTGGCCAGGTGGGACTTGGATGGCCAGGATGGGAGGGCGGTGACTGACACTGATGACTGGCCCTTGTCTTGGGACTAGGGAAGGAAGAGGGGCATGGACATCGATGGCTTTGGGAGGCAGAGCAGATGGGTGGGGGGTGCACTGGCTGGTGAGAGGCCTGGGAGAGGCAGGGCATAGGTTGCATAGAGGTGTCACCCATGGCAACGGAGGGGCCTGGCAGGCCGGCTGGGGACTGTCCTAACTGTTTGATCCCATGTGCATCCTCAGGGCACAGCCGCTCTTGAAAACCCAAGCTGGGCTGAGGTCCGCTCTGGAGCACAGATAGGGGCCCAGGACTGAGCCATAGGCGAAGAAGAGGCTGTGAAGGAGTCAGAGTAAACCAGGAGGCGGGAGGGAGACCCCAGGCACGTGGGGACCTGGAAGCCAAGAGAAGAGGGTTTGGGGCTAGAGGGGAGCCATCCTGCAGGTACAGGGCAGCTCTGGTAACACCTTGGGGCAACACTGGTAACACTGGTAACACTCTGCTTCCCTGGGCTCCTCCTGCCTCTGAGGGCCTGGCGGTGGGCAGGGGCTCTGGACGTGTTCTCTGGCGTGGTTTAGGGATGGACCTGCCACCAGGGGCATCAGTAGCAGTGCCTTGTTCCACCTGCTGGTCGTCGGTGAAAACTGCTCTCTATGGGTGTGGCTTGGCCTCCTGGGGGCTGCCCACCTTCTCTCCACCCAAGGAGTGAGGCCTACACCCAACTGGGACACCCCTGCCCCCTGGCCACCATCTGTCTCAGGAGAGGACTGATGACCCTCTGCTTTGGCCAGTGAGCCCTGAGGGCAGGTGCTGGGCTTCTGGAAAGTGTCCTCCTGCCAAGGAGAGCAGGGCTGAGGTGGAGGCTCCTGGGTGCTGGGAGCTGCTCACAGTGTCTGGTGGCCACTTCCTGGCTTCAGGTTTTGAATGCGGCTCCTCCTCCCTGGGGTCAGGGGTGGGCCCCAGCCAAACGGGCACGCTGTTGGAGTTGGCTCTGATCAGGGCCCAGTTCACTCTGCATGGAGACCAGCTCACCTCCTCCAGGTCCATCTCCTGGAACTGCTCCTCAATGTGTCACCTCTTCCGCTCAAGCAGGACTGGACTCCAGCAGGGTCAAAGGATGACATTCCCAGTCAGGGTTTGGAGCGGGACTTCTCACTTCCTTCGGGGAGCAGTCTTGGGCTGGTGGGGCATCTGGGTCCCCGCCTTCCCTCCTGCTGTGGCCTTTACTCCCTTCCCACTGCCCCCAATCCTGCAGCCAGCCTGAGCTGGTCTCTGCTGTCTGCACCAAGGTGCCCAAGCCAGGGGAGGGAGGGAGCAGAGGGGACCAGATCCCTGCGTTAGCGAGCACACGGCAGTTCAGAGGCCCAGCTAGGCACAACAGCCCTGAATGGGAGGTGGCAGGAGGAAGGGACCAGCCACTCCTCTCATGGGAAGCAGAATTTACAAAACATCGGTGGCTTCATCAGTTATTTCTCCTGTCACAGGTTGGAGGCATGAAGTCCAGGACATGCTGGGGACCCTCATACCCTCCAGCTCCCTGCTTGGCCATTCCCAGGGGCCTTCCTCCTCCTGGAGGCAGCACCTGTGTTTCAGGAACAGTCCCAGGAAGAGAGACAAAAGACAGCAGATGCATGTCAGCGTCTCTGCCAGGGGGTTTCCAGAATGGCCTCCAGACAGGTGGAGCAGCCTGGCCCTGGAGCACCGTGGGCAAAGGCCTGGGAGTCAGGCCACACAGAGGGGCAGAGCTGGAGACCGGAGGCCACACCCTAAAGAGCTCCCCAGGCCCCACATCCCACTGCACCCAGACTAGCCTGGCTGTGGCTGATTGACTGGTGTTTCTGTCAACTGTACAGATGTCAGGCTGTTTGCGAGGCTGTTTGTGTCACCACCTAGGCCAGCCAGGGAGTACCCTGTTTTATAACAGCTGCCCGGCCGGGAGTGGTGTTCCCCATGTGTGAGCAACAATACCTGCAACCACCCACAGCTGCAGCACTCTGATGGCGAACTTGAGGAAAACCCACACCTCTGGGCCCCGAAGGCCAAGTCAGAACTTCTGGTGGCCAGGACCAGGACTCTGCATTTTGATGCAGGGGATCCTCATGGCACCCGCTTTGAGAATCAAAGTGGAACTATGTGCCCTGGGATCCAACCCAGAACCTGCTACCAACTTGGTCTTTTCAGTGACAGTCACGCAGAGCTCTTCCTTGTGTGTGTTTGTGGTGGGGGTGCCTGGGTCTATGCTGAGGAGACGCCCTTCATTTCCTCTCCACCAGTGTCTTCCCTTTCTAGAAAGCACGAGGCTAGGCAGCCATTGCCTTAGCTGAGGCCACACTGATGGTGAGTTGGAATCCAGTTCTGTCGATGCCTCGGTTCCTGCTCAGACACCCCGTGTCATACCTTGCTGGCATGTGGACTGTCACTCACACTAGACAAAGGGTCTCTAGCCTTCCTCAGGCTCCCCAGCGCCCCATGCTGGAGTCTGTCCTTGTCACTGCACCGTGACACAGGGACCACGTCGTTCCATCCCTGCTTCCTCTGTCTGCCTTGCAAGGTCTCCTTGCTCCCACTCCCTCCTTCCTCAGGCCTCTCCCCCTCACAGTGCTCAGGGTGTTTTTCATAAATCTCATCTCTTTATTGAGACGCTTCTCAGACTTCAAAAAGTTACGCGTTATAACGACCTTTCTGTCCTCCCCACCAGGGTAGGAATAAAACAATTTCACCTTCCTTCTGTGGCTTCCCCTTGCTCCTGGGATGGAATTCCCACAGCAGCGTGGAGGCCTGTCCTTGCCGCCCCTCAGGCCCGCTGGGCTCCTCACTAGACTGCTCAGTCCCTTGCCTTGCCTTCCAAGGCCTGTGCAGAGTGGCTCCTACAGAAAGAGTCCCTGGGGGGCTGGGGCTCAGCGGTAGAGCGCTCACCTAGCACGTTCAAGGCCCTGGGTTCGATCCTCAGCACCACCATATAAATGAATTAATTAAATAAAGATATTGTGTCCAACTACAACTACAAAATAAATATTAAAAAAAAAATAGTCCCTGAATCAAGAAAGGCGCTGACCAGGTGTCTGCTTTTTGCAACCCCCAGTAAAATATTCATTCACTTGAAAAACACTTAGTGTGTACTATGTGCCAAGCGAACATGCTTATTTTTGTTTTAAAAATGCACAACTTGGCTTGAGAAATCACAATCTGTGCCTGTTTCCTCATTCACCAGTAAAATGGGGATGAAAGTACCCCGCGGGCCTGGAGCCTGGAGGATCTAATGCTGGGACAGGGCTCAGCACGTGCCTGGCACATATGTAAGTGGGGCTGGAGGCGGGTCAGGAGGGCCAGCATCAGGGAAGGAATAGGGTTTGCACCAATAGGACGTGGGCCTGGTCAGCACTTGCTGGGTTTTCCTTGGGCCCTGGTCAGTGGCATCTGGGTTCTTGAGTGGGCACTGGCCACACTGCAGGCTATCATCGATGGTGCTCAGGAGGATTACCAGAGCCAGTGTCCTGGAAGGTGCCGAACTCCTTTCCATCCTTGTGTGGAGGGTGCAGAGGAGTCTCTCCTCTGCGGTTTAATTCTGGCTGCTGGAAAAGGTGGTGGGTGAGGACTATGCACATTAGAACGATCCTCTCATACGTAGGCACTGTCTGCTGCCAACTGTGGGCTGGGTTGGAGCACACAGGTGACTTTCGAAAGCTTTTCTGGAGGAACACCAAGATGCGGTACTTGGATGACACAGGTGTTGATATTTGGAAGCAGTTTTAAGACATTCTGTTGAGAAGCTGCATTGTTTCCTTTTGCTGAACTAAGATGATAGAAAATCCAGCATCCCATTTCAGCTGCAAACTCAGAATCAATAAACCCAACTTAAACTGACCTGGGTAATGAAGGAATTTTGTTACTTAACTAGGTTAGTGGCAAGTAAGCTACAGGTATGGTCTGATCAGGACTCTGTTTCTCTGTTCTATTGGTCCTGCTATTTTCCTTGGGTTGATTTTGTTTCCCTCCTTTTTGATCAGACCTAGAGATTTAACTGCTGATTTAGAGAAAATAAAGCATTTAGAGGGGACTGCAACATCTATAATGTGTCAAATGCTAGAACCAGGTTTCCTCAAAAAGGAAGAAGAATCTGCAGAGTGCAGACACAGGCAGTGCATGGATTTTATTTGGATCCTTTTGGATCAACTTTTTTTTTTTTTTAAGCACTTAAATAAAACCACCTAGGAAATTTGAACACTGGGTGGATATTATGTGAGAGTATTAGTTTTTTAAATTATTTGTTCTTTTTAGTTATACATGACAGTAGAATGTATTTCTTTTTCCTGGTGAATTAACCATGAATTTTGATTCTAAATAATTGAAAATTCTGGGGCTGGGTATGTGGCTCAAGTGGTAGCGCGCTCGTCTGGCATGCGTGAGGCACTGGGTTCCATCCTCAGCACCACATAAAAATAAATAAGTGAAATAAAGTTATTGTGTTCAACTACAACTAAAAATATATATTAAAAATAATTGAAAATTCTAAAACAATTAAATTAAATGTGTGATCTTGCACCCAGGTATTTATAGTACATCAAATGTAAGCATTAGGGGCTGGGGATGTGGCTCAAGCGGTGGCGCGCTCGCCTGGCGTCCATGCGGTCTGGGTTCGATCCTTAGCACCACATACAACTGGACATGTTGTGTCTGCCGAAAAATAAAAAATAAAATCCTCTCTCTTAAAAAAAAATGTAAGCATTAAGTGTCTATAAACTGCCAATGATAACTTTAAATGGTGTTTTATGATATAATCCAGCTGAGGTTTTAAAAAAAATTTTAATTAATTTTTTAGTTGTAGCTGGACACAATCCTTTTTATTTATTTTTATGTGGTGCTGAGGATCGAACCCAGGGCCCCCGCATGTGCTTGGCGAGTGCTCTACCGCTGAGCCACAACCCCAGCCCCTGAGGTTTTTTCTTTAACATGTAACATGACATTGCTATTAAATGTAGTTACTTTATATCAACAGAATCAATATCACTGCTTCCTAATTAATCTTATGCTTTTATATTTTCTTATTTTAAATTGAATTATAGGAATAAACAAAACAATCATATATATTACATGAAAAACAATAATTATCCTGCATGCAAATATTTTTTAAGATGTTTGATTTAAGCTTTTATTTTATTTTTTAATTTATTCTAATTTGTTATACATGATGGCAGAATGCAATTCATTTCATATTATATATATAGAGCATAATTTTTCAGGACACTGATTGTACACAAAGTATTTTCACACCATTCATGTCTTATACATGTACTTAGGGTAATGATGTCTATCTCATTCCACCATCATTCCTACCCCCTTGTCCACTCCTTTCCCCTCTGTCCTCTAGTAGAATGTATTTTGACATATTATGCATACACGGAGTACAACTTCCCCTTCTTGTGGTTGTGCATGATGTGGAGTTACA